AATTGTCACTGTGAATGAGTATCAGGGTTTCAGATTTTCCATCCCTCTTCATGAATATAACAATCATGTACTAAGGTACTATGGCAAGCACTGGGATGACAAGATTGAGATGATAAAGGCCACTCCTCAACAATCATAATTTCCATACAGATTAATGGGCACTATGACATGTATAGAACAAGGTACTACTGAACACAGAGAAGGGATTTCTGTTCCAACTTTGTGGCAGTGTTGGAAGTCTTTCCATGAAGATGCTACATGAGTTGACACCTGAAGGATACAGGGAAAGTATGACAGAGAGGGAAGGGATGCATAGAGACAAGGAGATATGAGGAAAAAAATCTGTGGAATTGTAAGTGGTCCTGTGTGACTAGAAGCTAGAGCAAATTGACAGTAGTGTGAGTGGGAAGAGATAAGGTTGAACAACTTGACAAGAAACACTTTGGTTTGGGTATTTTCACTTCTTGTTAAGAAATTTCAAACTTTTCTTGAGAGCAACAGGTAAACCAATGACAAAGTCATGAGCAGGGTGTTTTAAATGCTTGACTAAGTGTTGCTAGATGAGTCTGGGCTAACTGTCATAAACCTCAGAAAATGAGTGATGCCTTTCTTTTTTCAAGAATACTTTCAGTGTATAGGCTGACAGTTTCAAAGTAGGGCAAAAGTATAAAAAGAGGCAGTTTCAAACCTAAGATCTTTGATTTGTTCATTTCTCAGATTTGGAAACAATATATAGCTCTTTCATTTTAATTGATTTTTACTCATAAGGTAGGACCAACATTTTTGAAACATGTAGTTCAATACTTTATGTACTTGATTTAAAAAATGTAGAAATACTTCCAGCTATTTGTTAAGTGTGGCCATCTAGGTTTTTTTTGTTTGTGCGGTTATTTTTTTTTTGTATAAAAGCAATTATCTTGCTAATTCTACAAACAGGGTCTAAAGTAGATTAATGAACATAATAAGTACTATTTTGTGATAATAATGATGTGATGTTTAATGACTTTACATTTTTTTACATGTAAAGATAAATTCTTTTGATAGATTTCTAGTCTTATCTTTCTTCTTCTCCTTTTTTTAAAATCTATGTAAGCAGCAAAGAGGCGTTTATTGAGAGCTAGGTTGGTCCTCTGCACACACAGCAACTGGTGACACTGAGAGGCCATCCTTCTTTGTTAAGTGAAAGTATTTTAAAATTCTTACTGTCATTTAACTATACACAGAAGTGGTATTAATTATGAACTATTAAAAGATGCACATAAAATAATTTGATCTCTCTTCCTCCTAGTTCCATTTTTCTCTCCTGCCTTCACCTTTGGAGGCATTTTGCAGTGATTAAGGAGGGGTGCCTGTATCTTGATAGAGGAGTGCTTTGTAAAGTCTCTCATTAAGGTTAGCATGATTTGAAAAATTAATCCTCCACAGGGAAATCTACAGACTACTAGATTGAATTTCAAATAAACTAGCCTATAAGGAAGTAAATAACAAACATAACTTTCTCTACAAAAAATAGTTGATCCCCCCAAAATCTTCCTTTGCATTGTATCTGCATTTACACACTCATTCATGATTGTCTTATAAAACAATTACATGATTTTTCTGGTAAGAACTAATGAGAATATCTTGTATTTGCATTGTGCTTAATAAATTACAAAAATATTTAACTTTCTTTTTGTACACAGTCATCCAATTTTATGACTTTGAAGCAATTCAGGCCTATTTCTCTTAATTTCTCCAGAAAAGTATGCATATAATCTAAGAAACAGTTAAAAAATACATAACACCTACCTTTGACCTTTAATTTATGTATTCAATGTTCCCTTTTCAAGTATTCTACTGCAATGGTGTTTTATATAACTTAGATGTGCTGTTTCTTTATCAGGAGTCTGCTAGTATTACCCTCCTCTAGGCCCTTTTTGATTCCTATAATTTTTTTTTAAAACTCAAATCCAAATAAAAAGTGAGGCCTCTTTTTAACATAGGAGTTAAGATCATCAAAATACCATTGAAGCTATGAAAAGGTGCGATGAAATTGATATTTTAACAACAATGACACATAATGAAAACAAGATGCTATCTTTTATTTATATGATTTTCTAACAGATATCTCACTGCTGTAAGAGTCCCCCCTAATAAAAAATGGTCAAACATTATAGAAATATCTTAAAATGTGTCCAACATAGTTGAACATTGTTTTCCTTATTAATTCTTAAATAGAGCTCATCATTTTTTGAATAATATTTAAATCTTGCAAAAATATTAGGAAATCACATGGTGGGACTGCAAGGTTCCTGTTATAACTCCAGGAAGATGGGATCAATGCTCAATGTAAATAAGATGATAGAAAGATTATAATTGATTCTGTTTTATAATGGTTGCTTTTCAAAGACTCTTGATATCACTGCCACCTTAGACTGCCTTCCAGTCATCAAAATTCTTAGATACATAAAAATGGTCTTACTATAGCGCTGCTATACTGCCCATTAATCTGTATGAAAATTACCAGTATATGATTGTTGAGGAATGGCCTTTATCATCTTCATCTTGTCATCCCAGTGCTTGCCATAGTACCTTAGTACATGATTATTGTATTCATAAAGAGGGATGGAAAATCTGAAGCCCTAATACTCATTCACAGTGACAGTTCTGTATGAAACTATGGGCTCCTTGTTTTACAAATTTGAATACATGCTTAATTCAACTAGTTTAAATATATTATAATAGTAATAAACATATTTTACAAGAATTATGATAAAGATTATGTAAGTAAAAACAACTAAGGATATATTTTTATTAAAGAACTGTCAAAACAATTTAGCAAAAGCAGAAATCAAATAATTTTAGTGTTACAAGCTTATTTAATTTATAAAATTATTTAATATTCCTTTACATTATAAACATCCATATTGGTGAAATTTTTGAGTATCAATCATACACTTTTGACTGAGTGGAAACCTTAGGTGTGGTGCTGGATAAATGAAAGTGTTAAAAGCACAGACAAACTAAAATCACACAGAAGCTATATCAATCACTTCAATATCTCTTTTCAATTCTGGACAGTGATATTTATTTTAAAAATTAATTTAAGGAAAGCTCAAATTATAAGTTCAGTTAAATACAGTTAAGAATACAGTTAAGAAGTAACTGTCTATTGAAAATGAGACCTCCAGTGATTTCTTTTAAAAAATGTAAGATATTTTTGTTTTTTTTAATATAGGTTAACATGACCTTTACTTAACATTTATAACTTAACAACTCATAGTTCACCAAAGCCAGAACAAGACTACCAGAAATCAAATCTGAAACCCAAAAGAGAAATATAATGTAACTAATCTCAGCATTTAGTTCTCAATGCTTTGACATGAAGCTACTCAGTTTTGGTAGGATTCACTACATTTTCTCTTTGAATAAAACTTTTGTGAGGTAACCAATTATTTGTAATACAAGAGTGCAATGGGACAGAACTTGTTCACAGAGGACCATATGCCATTTGGCTCTGCTGTTTCTCCATCAGGAGTCTGTTAGTATTATATTACCCTTCTGTAGGCTCTTTTTGATTCTTTGAGGATTGCACAAGACAATTATTTAGTATTTCAATTTTTTCCTAAATGACATGCATTTTTTTTTAAAAAAAAATCTCATTTGTCCTCATACTTTCCCTGCTGTACCTGAATCTGGCCATCCTCATAGTCTAGAAATGGAGATTCAGTTTCAAATTAATAAATCATAGATGAGTATAACTATCTTTGTACTGGATGAGTCTATATCCTTTTCATGATAGCAATTAAGTTTTGAAGAATAGTCTGAGCAAGATATCATGAACGTAATCAATAAATTACACATTTAATCAACCATGGTTTTGCTGCAATTTATCACATTTGTCTCAATTTATGATCATGAAAAGTAGATGCTTTTAAATAGTTGAGAGGTCATGAAGATAAATGAATTCCAGTCAGCTATTTTTTGATTTAAATCAATTTGACATGAATACAATTAAATCTACCAACTAGAAATATATAACATTTAGTGAAAGAAATATATCATGAAATACAGCATCTGCATTTCAGTTTGGCTGGAAAATCTGTAATGAAATGTTAATTGCAATTAGGTATAAGCATTTCCATTTATCTATTTCCTCATGGTCTTAAAGTTTGGCAACAGGAAGACATGGGGATAGTGTGTATTCCAGTGGTAGATCATGTGATTATCATGTGCAAAGCTTTGGGGGTTCAATTATCAGCAACAAATATAGATATTGTTTCAACATTATTGAGAATATATTATGAATGTCAGCATATATAGCTACTAAAAATCTGTAATTCAACCTCTTAAAACTTTACAATTCTTTACTCAAAATGAAGTATCTATTAGGTCCAAGGTTTTCAATATTTTTTTTCTTAAATTTTAAAATGAGTTCTATGTAACTCTAAGTCTTCTGTGTTTTATTGGCTTATAACTTTACACATTTATGAGGTAGAGTGTTATTTCAAAATGGGCACACACTGTATAACAATCAGATCAGGGAAATTGGAAGACTTATCACTTCAATGAGGTCTAAGTTGTATTTGCTGGAAATCAGTTATGTTTCTGTGTTGAGACAGAAAATGTGTTTATAATATTTGAATTTTTACATTCATTTAGCCATACACAAATATCACTTTGAGTGCTCCTTCAAAGATAATTCAAATAGTTTACTTGCTTGATACTTACCTTCATTTCCTGCTTTCTCTTTCCATACTGCTGTCTTTTTGTAAAAGACTATTTTCATGGATTAACCTCATATTTCTGCTCTCCAGAAAGAGACGGTATCTTTCATTCTGAGCTTGCAATTGTCTTATAATGTCAAACTGTTGGTTTTGTTTATGATTTGATGTTTCGATTTGATTTTCAAATTTGATTTTAATGTCATGAAATTCCTGTTGAAGCTGTGTAATTTCACTTTGGAGTCTATATATTCTCCTCTGTCTAATAGATTCCTGCTTTCTGATGTGTTCTTCTATTTCCCTTTGTTCATTTTTATATGTATGTCTTTTTTCTTGTTCTGAAACCAAAGTCCTTACTCTGAGAGTATCTCTTTTCTGGCCAATCTCATTTTCTAGGTCACTGGTTGTCATTTCCAACTGTGAAACCTGTTTGGAAGGAAGATCAGGATACCAGTTATGATATGAGAATTGCACACATTAATAAATGATAGAACTAGGGTCAGCACTTAGCATATGTATGTTTATCAATAAACACAATTCTGGAAAGCAGGGTGGGGCCAAAAATATAGGCAAGTAGTGAGATTTTTAAAATATTTTTATCTATCTATTTGTTTACTTAAGTGATGCTGAGGAGCAAACCTAGGGCCTCACCAGTGCTAGGTGAGCACTCTATTTCTGAGCCACAACCCCAGCCCCAAGTTGTGAGATTTTATCCAAGCCTTCCACCTCTGCTTCTAGTGCTCATCCACCATTCTGTCCTGTGCATGTATAAACATCAGAGAAGGCTTGTGTTGCAAGATACTAATGGCAAAAACAATTTCTAAGTTGCTGCTCAGTATTATTTGTTTCTTCTTAGTGAAGTTTGAAACATAATAAGTGTGAAATAGAGAAAATAAACTGACCCAATTTTTTAGGAACAAATACCAGTAAGTTATTACTGCGTACATATCATGGTATATCATTATTTACCAAAGTGTTCTATATAAAATAGGGGATTACTTGAGGCAAAGTATTTCTCTTGTCAAAAGTGGGGAAATGATATCCAAAAACCAGGATCTCTGCTAGCCACATTTTTCCTTCTTACTTAAAAGTGGTATAGTAAAAAGCACATCTTCACATTAACACACCAAGGGAGAAAAATCATTTCCCCAAACCAGAAGATATATTGTTAGAAATCAAGGGTTTTGAGATCCTAGAAAAATCATCAAATCCTGTGAAAAATATTAAAAGCCTTTTCTCTGAAACAGGACACTGTGAAAACCACCACTGGAGTGCTGCAGACAAATGGAATTGAATAATAACATTACTTAATCCAGTGGGACAAAAATGCCAACATCCTCACTCCCTAATATGCACCTTATGGTTATACATTTATGTTTTTCATGATGGATACAGTTACTAGTCACACACACACACACACACACACACACACACTTGAAAACAACAGAAGAAAACAATTGATTTCAGTTTTGGCCCTATTTATCAGTTTTTGTTTGCAAAATGTTTTGCTGGAATCCCATCTTGTAAATTCAGGCAAACTGTTCTCAAGAAAGTTACCTATAGGTGTCATTTTGTTCTGTTGAGACCTAGAGACCTTTCAGTAGGTTTTAGTCTTATCTCAGTAGGGAGTAGAAAGTCTAAAAGCTTAATTAATAGTAGTATCTTCAAATTAAATAACCATTCAAAAGAAGTAGATTATTAAAGCACATAAATCTTTATTACACATGAATTACTCAAATTTAAACTGCATAAATGACAGAAAAAATCCTCAAAGAGTAAAGATATTTACTAAATACAGGATAAATGCAATTGTGAAATTTTTTTAAACAAAATCTTTTAACTATTTTCAAATCTATTTATTCTATACCTTAACATTTTAAAAATCTTTTTATTATCTTCATTTACTTTTTCTTTTAATTTGTCCTTATTTTGTTCAAAAAACAGAGAATCATTTCTTCTATTTTCCTATTTTTAAAAAAAATACTTTATTTTTTTTGTAGTTGTAGATGGAAATAATGCCTTTATTTTTTCTGTTTATTTTTTTGTAGTGCTGAGGATCGAACCCAGTGCCTCACACATGATAGGCAAGCTCTCTGACACTAAGCTATAGCCAAAGCCCCTCCTTTTTTAAGGCACATCTGCAGTAAAATTGATAATCATATCAGTGATTAAACTCAACTCTTTCACTCAGGAAACAAATATGGAGCATCTACTAGATGCCAAGATTTGCAATAATTAATCTTGCAACAAATGTCATCAATTAATTTTAGGGTGAAATAAAATTTTGTTTTAAACCAAAATAATAGTGTCACACTCCACATACCAATGCTTTGTGAGAATATACACTGCATGTACAAAGGAGATCCTAGAAGATTATGTATTCTGGTATTGTGGTAGATGTCTGAAGTTTGTGCAAGTACACACTTATGATGATTGTATGTTGGTACAATTGCCAAACAGCATACTTCTCAGATCATATACCCTTCATGAAGTGAAACATGGCTGCATATAGTATGTTAAAGGGATAGTATACATAAGTTTGCTGAAATAAAATAAAAAATTTAAAAATGTACTGAAAGCTCATTTACCTGATTAAATTCATCTGCTGTAATATTTAATTCTATATCAAATTTTCTGACAGATGTTTCAGGTTTCTTTTTAATTTCTTTATTATCTTCATTTTTTATTTCATTTATCTGGTCCCTATTTGGTTCAAGAAACAGAGAATCATTTCTTGTATTCTCTTCCTTTTTAAGACACATATTCAGTAAAATATATTTATCTTAAAACTGAATTTTCCTGAGAAAAAATAACTTTATTCTACCCTTTATGTTGCTCTTATGGTAGCACTTACCTTGTTAATCATTATGTATTTTGTAAACAAGTCAAAATCCCCTTTGGAACAAGACTGAACCTAATATTTAATCCAATAATTAAGAGTATGGGTCTTTTCAACAAAGAAATAAGAAGAAGTTTTACTTATAAACCAGAGTTAATTTGAATAAAATAATCAGTAATTCCTTTTCATTTCATTTTTAAATGAATGTTAATATTAAAACTGTAGCTGAGGGTCTAGCTCAGTACTAACATATCTACTTAGTTGAACTAACCCCTGGGTTTGATCCTATATAGCAGAAGAAAAACTAAAAATGTTTTAAAATATTTCTGGACAGTGAAAAATGCCCATTTTATTATCTTTGGGTTAATTGTAAATAAAGTAAACTTTCTTGAGAGGAATTTAGAAATCTATCAAACATCTTTTTAAAAAGTACCTCTAATCAAATAATTCTACATTGAAAATGTATTCAGAGTAAATTAAACAATAGAGAAAACTGGTTTTCTAAATTTCATTCCTTGAAACATTGATTGTACTCCAAAAGGCAAAAATATAGATACAAAACCACCAAAATTTCTATTTGTTATATAAATAGATTCCTCTTCAGGTATGGTGGTACATGCCTTTAATCTCAGTAACTAGGGCAGGAGTATCTGAAGATTAATGCCAACTTCAGTAACTTAACAGGGACCTAAGAAACTAGCATATCATACCTCAAATGTTGAACTTCGTGTTTCAATGCTACATTTTCCTTTTTAAGCTCCAATGTTACCCTTTTTTCTTCAGTATATCTCTTTTCAAGTTTATACAGGTCATTTTCCAGTTTTGCTTTTTTTTGTAGTAAACACTGTGAGCAGTAACTTTTTTTATGTTTTATTATGTGATGTGAAGAACCTGTATTCAAATGTTTTAATTGGATAACAGAATTTGTATCAGGAAGAAAGCAAAATAGAAATAATATGTGAGTAATTTTCATAAGTGAATGACTCTATATTTCCACATGCAGTATTCATACACTATACAAATGTAGAGTACCTAAAACGTGTGTACCATGTTCTATGGGATAAAACCTCTTTTGTTGTTTAGCTTAAAGTCTAATGGATGTGCTTCACTGTGCCCAATAAATCTTGTCTTCTTTAGGAAGTATTTCTGATTATCCAAACAGAATCTTTTGCTTGACAAATATTTCTTTGTGGAGAAAGTGAATGTCACCAGGTTGAACGCAAATAAATATCTCAAAGATTCATCCACAAATCCACCTACTCAGTATAAATGTACCAATTCTTAGAAACAAAATTTTAAAATAGATAAAAATCATAAATTCACATTATTCACTATTTTTTACCTCATAAAAATAAATTTTATGCAACTCCTGTTCATCATTAATGGCCTCCAAAGTGAGTGATAATTTTTACACTTTTATCTGTGACCACCCTGTTACTTATCTGAAAAGCTTTATCTGAAATTGTGACAATATTATTTGCTACTCTAAAGACACAGTGTGCTTCATGCACTCCCAGTTGATTTGGACTCTAGTTATTGTAATAAAATTGTTTCTTTACTCAAGCCAACATTAGTACTTTATCAATTTTTCCACTATATCCTTTTAACTTAAACAGTAAATTGTTTATTTAGTTGACAGTCCATTTTGCTTGTGAAGAAGAGATAATCTTTTCAGTTATCTCTGTGAAAATAGTGTCTATTTATTTGACTCATTAATTATTTTTGAGTTTCTGGTAAGTGCTAATGTAGATAAATGGTATCAGAGATAATGTCTAGCAATAATGCCTGAGCTGGGATATAAAACTGATATTATCAGCCAGCTTAAGGGAAAGGATAAGAGCTTGATAAGCAGTAGCAACTGAGGAAGATGACTATTACATTGGATCTGTATTTGTCTAAATATGTAGGGATCCATGAAGAGTAATACCTGAGGAAAGCGTAGAGGGAGGAAAGAGATAAAGATAATTAGGCAAAAATCATATTATGAAAGATTTATATGTAAATGTAAAATATTTTGATATTCTTGTTCTAAAGAATGATTCATGTCATATTTGCAGTGGAAGTAGATTACCCAGAATGTGGGCATGTGAAGATGATGTGAATGGAGAACAATAGTTAGAAGGCATCAGTGCAAAATAAAGATGACACAGGCCTGAACTAAGGGAATGTTTCTGAGCATTTGGGATACAATATTTTCACTAACTCAGTAAAGAATAATGTGTTATTAAATTTAATAAGTAAAAGAAAAATTCCGAGTCTCTGTGAAATGAGACTCTGTCCAAAACAAAAACAAAAGGTGTCAAAGAAGATGTAAAATTAAGCACCTGAACTCTTTAAGTTGCTTGTATTTATCATGTGATTTTTTTAAAAAAAAATTAACATCTTCCTATTTCAATTAAATGAACTTGTGTTTTTTCTCTGAACTATTCAAATAAAAAGATTTTACAGGATCATCAACTTTAAAGAGAAGGCTGGCAGCCAGTCTCAATTGTAGAGCAACTGCTCAGCATATTAAAAGGCCTCATTTCAATTATTCCCTCCATGGAAAAGAAAAGAAAACAACAATAACAACAAAAAAAAAACTGTTACCTAAAGTACAACATATGTTTATTGCAATTACTCAATAGTTTGGATCATGCACTGGAAATAAAATAATAAATTATTTTAAAAGATGTCTCTCTTATATTTCCCAAACTAAACCCTACCCTCCTGGCTCAAGTAAATTTGTGCCTCAATCTTTTAGGAAGATGGGAATATAGTTTTGCCCCACTGCCTATCTCTGCTATAAGAATTTTAAAACTATATTATTTTTAAAAAGATTACATTCTGATAATTTACCTTTGAGAATCCATAAATGTTTAAGGGATTACTTAGGGAACTTGAGACATAGTAAAATTTGAGAAACAGTTCAAATTTAAAAACTCTTTTTCATATTCAGGAACATATTATTTAAGAAAACATGAATACCAATATTGAGATTGATATTTTCGAGGATAAATCCTCTCATTAAATTTAGAAAAAAAAAGAAACAGGGAAACTGCCAGCATTTCAATGGTTTCCAGGTAACTTTACAGAAAAATTGTACTGCAAAATTTACCTGATTTCAGTGTCCTTCTTTTTTGCTTCTGTTTTGACTTATATAGAAGAGAATCTTTGATTATGATGGAAGGCTTCATTTGCTTAGAGACAAAGATATCATATAAATAGTGTGTATTTAATCCAGTACCCAGTTAATACAATGAAATAATTATAGAAGATCAATTACCTTGCCAGGAGCATGTGAGTTCTGAGATACTGAAAAGGAAAGAAAATATATTCTCAAAAACCCCAAATATAAAGAGAACTACTCTCATAATCTTACACAATGAATATGAACCCGAGTCCCAGTGGTTATATATCATAAACATGATTTTAACTTTGGTGTGTCTGCTTGTTTGGGACTTTTTTTGAATACAGCCACATGTCTAAAATGTGCTAGATCAAAATTGGAAATATAGCTTTTGTAATTAATGTTCCAATTTTGAGGTCACATTTGCCATGACCATAAATACATAATCAAAGGATATATGTACCAGTGAAAAGATGCAGAATTCTGGTGAGCACAGTGATCTGTATTCAGAGGAAAATAGAAGGATCTGAAAAGTTCAACATGAAAGCTGAAGGAAAAACACAGCTACATATATCTTCCAGGAAACTGATCCGAATTATTTAACACTTTTTTTCCCAAGTACAGAACCTCTCTTTATTTGCCCTACAATTTAGTAAGCCCAAATTTGTGATGGGATTCTAGGAGAAGGTTTACTTAATTTCACCTCAGAGAGTTTTTTGAAATAATTAGTTCAGACATATGCTTTTAGAAGAGCAGCTAATACACATGTCCTTGTTTTTCATACCCATGTGGAGCACTAGTGATTTTTTTCCCCTGTAGCCTCTTATTTAACCAATGTCATTTTTCTTTTTCCATTCTTGCACAAAGATACATGCCCCACAAAGAAAAAATGTAGGACAAGGCACAAAGAACTGAGATATGGCAATCCAAAGAAAAAGAAATCCGAAAACTGCCGGAATTATCAGACACTAATAAACCTTTGTATTTTAGTCATTGGAATATAACTAAGATGAACAGTTCTGCTAGTTAAGGAATAAACTTCATGAAAACTATGAGTTAAAAAATGAATCTGATGTGGTATATCTTGACAGATTATCAAATTGTTTAAAAAAAGGGGTTGGCTGATCAAAAAATTAGGTATCTATCAATGATCAATTTGCTCAGTAATAAAGTGAATTAATGGCATGCTCAAGTTTTATTCCAAATCATCAATAAAATATTTTTATTTTATGTTATTTTATGTTTACCATTTTTGGTAAACATAATGATAATAATAATAATATTTAAGTAAATAGCTGTCTTGAAAACAAACAATGTTTCAGCAATGCTAAAGTTCTCATATGAATGACTCAAATGGATGTCACATACATCATGGAAGCTGGTAGGGGTGGAGAAGAGAAGTTTAATTTGAGGTTGATACACTGAAAAGAGATGAATTGCATTATACCAGTATTCTCATTTTTTTTATCCAAAATTACCTAGGTAATTCTTTGGTTTCTCTCTAATATTGTCTCCCATTTAGCTTTAACCAAGAAACCTCTAGAGCCAGAGACTTGATTATTTCCATTCTTATTTACTTTCCATGTATTATTCCATCATATTGTCTTGAGAAATTTCCATAATTATGCCTGATATTTATGACATAAACTGTTTTTTCTTTCACTGGGACTACCTCATATATTTTATAGCTTCCAAACTAGGTAACAAGCATGTGACTTATAAATTATTCCTTTTTCTGTCTACTCCATCAGTTCCTGGACTTAAAGAGGACACTTTTGCATCACATTGTAATCAACAGCTTTGTTTATTCCACCCACAATTGAGTTTGTAGTAAGACCTTGAGGAGAAAACAGATGCCAGTGATGATTTACTTTCTAGAGATGGAAATAATGGAGACTTCAAAAGTGAGGTTATGTGCCAGAGGCTAGAAATGCTGAGCATGAAATGTTGTGCATAGAGAAACAGGGTTTAAAAGAGAACATGAATGAATGAATGAATGAATAAAATATATAGAACATATTTTTATGATGATATAGTGATTTGTAAGAGAAGAATCAGAGGACATTGCAGGCAGAGAGAGGGATCAATACACACAGTGAGGAAAAATTTGTATCATGAAAGATTTCTAGGAAAGTTAAGGTGCTTGGACATCCATGATCTAAAGAGGGCTGATAGTCATATGTGCAGTATATGCATAAATAACAGGACCATCCTCAATGCTATAGCAGTTTAACAATAAAGGACCTGTACATGATGGAGATACATAATGAGAAGGCCACAGTGCACTGGAAGTTGATGCCAGTGTGAATGGAGGGAATGTTTCTGGAAATACAGAGGATAGAACAATTTCAGTGAACTGTGTAGAATGAAGACTAATTGCAGAAACAAAGAAAGAAGCTGGGCCACAGGAATGTGTGATTCTGCTCCTGACTATAACTCAAGGATTCAAATAACATGTGTAGTAAGTGCAGCTACTGTGAATGTTGCTTTCCTTTATCATGTAGTTTCTTCATGGCACTATCTTCCTATGTTGATGAAAATTCTTTAAGAAGAATATGGGTATTTTTCTGAGGCTTGGATACACAAAACACACCAGAGAAACAGAGAGGTCTGTGGGAAAGGATCAGTGGGAGATCAAATGCTTAGCATGCAAAAGGATCTCATTAGTGCCCACTGAGAATAACATAAACAAACAAACCATGCCATAGAAATATGAGCAAGTGCTACTTTGGTATGTGGAAGTACAATTTTGATTTACAACTTTTAGTCAAAATTTCTAGAAAGAAGGTTCTCCAGCAATAATGGATTCATTTTACAGGAAAGGAGTAAAATAAATTACAAATGATCATACATTGCATGCTTTCATGCTATAAACTGACCACATCAGTGGTGAAGGGAACAAACAAAAATATACCATAAAACAAAACACCAGTTCTTGGAATTAGTCCATAAGCGTGGTGTCATAGTATTTCTCTTGTCAATGAGTTTCTCCTGTGTCACAGATTGGCACTGATCTCCTGGGTTCAAGCAAAAACCATATTTTCATTCTCTCAGGCTTCTCGGTTCTAGTCCTGCCCCTTTAAGCTCTTTTTCAATTTAGGAGGGATAGAAAATCAGCCTCATATTCCAACCAACCACTGTAATGACTCCAATGTGGGACACATAATTTTAGAGACATATATGATATAAACTCTTTTAATATATTTTCCTCATGAATTTACAGAAATATTTTGAAACATGGGTGCAAGCATCAACATCCAATGTTGTGGCAAATCCTCCTGACACATCGTGGAAAAACTATATATATCATGTATGAATAGCTTGCTATCCTTTTTAATATGTTTCACTATATGCTTTCTAGAGAAGTTGTACAATAAGACTTACCTGTTTTTATTTTCCATGCTTCCATTCTGCATTTTTCTTTCTTTTGGAATTTTCCACCCTTTCCTGACTATCACTGATTCTTTTCTGTGTGTACTATGTGTACTCACTGCCTTTCTCAGCCTTCACTTTCCCTTCTTCTATCCTTTGCCTTATTTCAGATTTACCTGTGACAGACGCATGTGTCAAATGCAACTCACAATGCAATTCCTTTAGCAATACATCCAATTCAATCTGTGGCTAAACTTACAAAATATGCCACTTCTTATCTTTGTTTACCCCTACTAGTTATTTAATGGGCACATTCTTTAAACAAGTACTACATACCAGTGGTCATATATTTTGGCTTTGATCTTTCCAATGTATTTTACATTCTATGTGGTTCTTACCTTGTCCATGTGCATTTATTGCCTTTGTGCTTGGTTCAAATTTACTGGATACAAAAGCAGCACACACCTCTCGATGTTTCCCAGAATCACTCTGGTAAAAATAATGACAATAATAAGTTTCATGTAGTTTTCTGCATCCCTTTCTGTTCATCATTATATTTATAGTTAGGAAGACATTGCAATTTCAGATTAGACCATTACATTTTCTGCAATGATATTTCCATCTGAGACATGATTTCACATGCTGTCCTGATAGCTCCTCTCTTCATCTGGCTACTGATGGGGAACATCAGGAAGAATGAAAGAGGAAATGTATTCTCTTACACCAAACTCACTGATATGCATATATCCCAAACAACTAACATCAGTGCTTAATTAGTAAGCTCTGCATTCTCACTCAAATCTAAAAACAGAGTAGAAAATTTATTTAAAATGCTTTTGTGAATTAGATTTCATGTTATACAGATTCAACATTTCTAACAATGAAGTGCCAATTGTTTTATTTATTTATATAATACTTGTTATGATAAGAGACTATCCAATGGGCCACCTCCAGTAGGAATAAAATATTCTTGAACTTGTTTCATTTGAGTCTCCAGAGACTTCCAAATATTCACTTCATTGAGCAAAATATTTACATAGTCAAAATTTCATTAAAAAGAGAGAGTGTCAGTAAGAGAATGTGTCTATATTTTATATTCTAATTTGTTATATATGACAGAAGAATGATTATAATTTATATTACACATAAAGAGCACACTTTTTCATATCTCTGGTTGTATACAAAGTATAGTCTATATTTTATGTGAACAAACAAGCACACTCAATTTGGTTAGAGTATGCAACACTTTTCACTGAAGAAGGAACTAAAAGGAATTTCAAAAAAGTAAGACATTAGCACAGCATCATGCTGTGTTTCTTGACTGACTACTTTCACAGGTTGCAGCCAGAAAAATCCATGGATCTGCAGAACGAATAAGATAGCCTGTGTGGAAATACTGGGGACCCTTAATAGGAATCAGTGATCAGATGAAACACAGAAATCATAGATTTTAAAACAAGATGTACATTCATAGAAGAAGTAGATGGAACAATGCCACGGAAAACTAGTGATGTGCAAGCAATGAATTTCCCCTTTGGAGGGCTGAGGAGAATCTCACTAACCCAATTAGGCAATGGCAAAAAGCAAGAAATAGGCAGTTCTCAAATCAGGAATTACAAATTGCTCATAGATGTAGCACATTTGGTTAACATCACTAGAATTCAAAGAAATACCATTCATATATGAATTGATATTTCAGATGTTCCCAGTCAGAATGACATTTATCAAGTAGTCAAAAAATATGTTCAGTGCAGGATGTGGCAGCAAAGTCCAATCCTACACTGTCAGACAGAAAATTATGGAGATTCCTCAGGATTCTAGGAATATGACTGCCTTATGACCCAACTTTTCCACTCCTTGATCAGAACCCCAGTGTACCAAAACCAGCATGCACATGTGATTTATGAATGTTGCTGTTTTAGCACTGTTGTTTTAGTCATGATTATAAAGTTATGGAACTAAATCTGATACCCATTCACATTAAAATGTATTAAAAACACAAAAAGACACTTGGCACTGATTCTTAGCAATATACTTATTCATTGTACCCCACTATGTCAAAATCAATACCATCCTTTATATGAATTCAGTGCCCTAAAATATTCTAATCTACAAAAGGTGCAACAGCAAGATCTCCTTAAGTATATAAAGGAAAATATTTTAGGAAAAAATAGAAAAATAATATAGATTCCTCTCAGTTCAAATACAACATTTTCAGCAAAGGAGGGAGTTGAATTTTTTTGAGGTGTATCAACCAGTATTTGAAATATTGTCAAATCTTCTAGGCAGAATGGGATTGCAAGTGCCAAGAGCCTCTTCATCCCATGTACATTACCATACTTTTCCCCCAGATTTTAGAAAAAAAATTCCTTTCTATTTTAACTTTTATAAGGTGGACCTCTGTCATGGAGGCACCCACAGCATGTATTAGGGTGGTATAAAAATGAAACTGAGACATAGATCTGTTGATAGCTCTGGGCAGCTACATTTTGTTTCTGTGGTCCACCTAAAGATTAAAACTCCTGGCACTTTCACTGAAACATGTTGTTTGACGTTCTGTGACAGCAAGTGCCAAGGTTATGTCTAGTAAAAAAATTGCTCTCCTTTAAAACAACATATATGTGCCTACACATCATGTAGGGTCAAGCCACTCAGTTGAGAGGCACTTCAAGTTCTTGTCCACATTATCACCACACTGATACTTTTAGACACCATCCAGGGAATTACAATAAAATCTTGAGGGCAGAAACCTTTGAGAAGTGTTCCATTGTAGTAAACTGTGGGAAAAATATGAAACCACTGCATGTTTGAACTTCCCAGATGCATAGCCAACTCTCCACACAGAATGGTGGAAGTTCACCCTCTTCATATATTCTCAGGATAGTGATAGTTAGGAATGGGCTGAAAATTCTCATCAGGAATACATGTGTTGTGTCTGTGGGAAAGTTAGTTGAGTAGAGTTCCATAGAGTACTGCCTCTTTAAACAGGTGGTTTAGAATAATGATAGTGAAGGAGACTGTTTTTTGAAAATTCAAGTGACACAAGAATGCAGCAGTGCTGGGGCATTGTCAGGTGCAATGGTATGTTCCTTCAGTTCCCAAAAGATTCTGCAAGCAGGCTATGACTGCCATGCTCCAATAAGTTGCCAGGAAACTGCTCGGAGACATGGAATCTTGCCCACCTTTAGACCATTGACTACAGGAATCCATCAGGTGGTATGAATTACATACTAGTCCCTAGGCTCCATGAACCAGAGTGTGTGTCAGGAAGTCTTCACATTAGATAGCCCCACATGTCTGAGTACATTAACAAGTAATGATGGTGATATTCTCCTTGAAATTGCTAAGTTCTCTCAGCATTCTTTGAGTGTGGTGGGGCCAAAGGAGCAGAGGAGCTCAGCTTATTCATGCAAATAACTGGTTAGGACTTTTGGAGCTAGAACAAATAAAGTGTTGAATAATATTTGTTTCCCCAGAACCCCCAAAGTTATGTGTGAGTAAAATTAGAAATCCTGGACAGAAATATATTCTTTTCTACTCTGTTAACATTAGGAAATCTCAAGCTTTTGCTGTTATTATTCATGATATATTTGTCTTATATTTGTATGGGTGCTCTACATTATTTCATTTTTCTCTATTTATTTATGAGAGTTTTATTCCATTCTTTCATTTTTTGTTGTTATCCAGAGACAACTTTTATTCTCATTTTAAATCTTTTCATTTCTCATTTTTATTACATTTGCCTCTTCTCCTATTTTGACTCTGCTTACTCTCACCACTTTCACTCTACTTACTTTTTTGAAATATGTTCCAATAATTATATTATAACCAGGACATAATTTTTTGCAGGTAAAACTTGTTATTTCCTACTCTATCTTTTCATTTTGTGATGTTCTAGAAATCATTTAAAACATATATATTTTATGTACAGTGGATACATATTTTGGTTTATGCTGTGATCATTATTGGAGTTTATTCTCTCCTGACAGGAGCCAATATGAACTTGGTGTGAAGAAAATTGACTTAGAAGCCACTGACTTCTTACAAACAAAGCTGTGTTAGGTTCAGCACTGCACTGGAGATGGGTGGACCAGCTG